ATGATATCGAAGGCTAGCACCCCGAGACGCAGTCTGCAGGGCTCGTCTTACCGCCATGGTAGAAGTTGGCCATGGCGACTTGCAAGACACAGCAGTTCGATGACCTCACAAGCCGGACTCCGTGGGGGATCCGTCTCACGTGCTGCCGCAGAACTCGCCAGTTGACTCACCCATACAAATCAATATTCACCAAGAATTATGAAATGTAGCCATTTGTGATGCAACGTAGTTATCTGCATGCACTCTTCAGCCACATTAACTGTATTCTGTTAACCCCTGTCTGCATAGACATCATCGATCCTGCACTGCACCCAATGAAGTAGTGTGCACTGGTTGGTCCCCTCGGTCCCCTTATCAGGGCGTGAGATCGACCCCCGCAGGTGCCTAACTCTTACTTACTTCTTACTACTAACTTAGCCGCAGAGTATAAATAAACCCTCCCCTGTCCCACATCAGGCAACTCATCTTACATCTTTCATCAACATTTTTAGGTCAAAGGTTTACAGATTCTCTTCTCACTCAAGAACTACTTCTCTTTGTCAAAACAAATATACCGCCAACATGCCTCACCAGTACATGGTTCGTTTGTTATCCTGTCCCGTCCCACTCCCGTCCCTCTCCCGTCCCTGGCTGAATGCTAACGAATTTCATGATTTGCAGGTCAGCCTCAAGAAGGAGTCTCCCCCTGAGGAGCTCGAGAAGTGAGATATACCACAGTTCACTCAGAAAAAGCTTGGGTCTAATACTTGTGTGTAGGGCCAAGAAGACCGCCACCGACAACGGAGGCAAGATCGTGAAGGAATTTGCTCTGGTCAAGGGTTTCGTGTATGAACATCTTCCCCATTGCAAGCTTACTATCTTTGCATGTCCCAACTAATTTCTGACCATATAGTGTCCAATACGACGATGAACAAGTCTCCACCCTCCAGTCCTCCGACCACATCCACGTCGAGAAAGACAGCGAAGTCTCGATCCAGTAAACAAAGGTTATATCAGAACGGAGCTGGTCCGGCCGTATGACTACTTTGGGGGAGCTTAGATTACTTCTACGGTCTTATTTGTTATATTGAATGTATGAATTATGATATTATTTACATGAAGAATTGTCGTATCCAGCCAACAAGCATGAGTAGTCTGTAGAAACTGAGGGGCGCGAGATTATAAGCGGGTGATATAAAGAGCTCTACGTATCGTGTATATACTGCTGATGTTACACAACTACCCCTCAAAAGTCTTACTTCTCATTAACTATGGATGAATGCACCTGGCATTTCCGGATTCGTCTTGAATTGCATTGTTCCATCCTGTGATTCCCTGCGGCAATGACGCACCCGATGACGTTATCCCGCGAGGGGCAGTCACGTGCTGTAAACTATCAACAGCTTATGAATGACGTGGATGAAGATCTAAAGAATTATCTGTGTGGATCATAATAGTATAGATGAGATATCGATAAATCATACGATATGGTGTTATCTCACTACAGACTGTGGTCATATATCCTTCAAAAACCCCACCTCAATCACCTTCTCGGCTCCCAGCCCCAACGAAGCAATCTTCGCTCGGGTATTGTCCCGAATCCATAGGAAGATCTCCAGCACAAATCGCCTAAAAATATTCGTACCCCTTTTGACTCTCATCTGCTCTTTGCCAGTGATGTAGAGAACGTTATGTGCACAAGCCTTCTCCAGCAATGCTACCGGATCGACCGGCCTCCCTCGGCTAGTGATCGTCCGGGACTCTTCAGCACTCGTCGAATCTTGACCTATATCCCGGCTCAGCTGACTTATGCTCGTGCTGGCTTCCGTCGGAGCAGTGGTATGTCTATGCTCGATCAAGTACTTGCGGACCTGATCAGTGATGGTGCTAGCGAGATCCGGGGAGATGATCTCGTCATTGTAGCCGTAGCGGACAACCAGACGGTAACAATTCGGAATTGCAAGTTTCGAAACAGTGTAGCGATCATCGATGGGGACTGACGGAGTTTCGAGAGGTCGTAGATGAAAGAAGATGATCGTCTCAAACATTGTCGTGAGTTTCAGGATGAACTGGCTAAAGACGATGGGCGTGGTCTCTCCAGCTTTGTCAAAGAATATGCCCACACCCTGAGTGGTGCTCAGAGGTGCACCGTCGAATCTATCTGTAAGACGAATGCTACCATCTTGGTCTTTGGTCACGAAATGCGACGTGGGAAAGCGATCTTCCGCTTCAGCAAACCATTGCTGCTCCTTTCCAAATCGCCAGAGGAGAAAGAGCAGGGCGAGAATGGTGGCTACAGCGAGAGTGAACCATGCGCCAGTGGGGACTTTTGTTAGTGCCGAAGATAGGTATGCCCCGTCGAAGCAAGCAATTGTCAGCCAGGGCAGGAAGACAAGGTAAGGACTCTTGCGCCACACAAACATTGCTACCATTGCAACCATGCATGTGTCGAAGAAGGTGACGAAGATGACACACACTCCGTATGCGTTTCCAAGAGATGTAGTCTGCTCTTCATTAGCGCACCCCAATGAGCATAGAATCGATTGACATACGTTGTTATAGATAGACGCCACAAGTATCGTCCCGATCATCAATAGCCAGTTCGCAAGCGGTATGTAAAGCTGTCCATGGAATATATCGGATGTATGAACCACTTTGAATTGTGGGAGGTATGAGAGCTTCATCACTTGCGCTAGGAGCTAAACGGTGTTAGACTGGTCATACCTTGAAAGCGAGGTTCATACCTGAAATGTAGCAGTGATAATTGCTTGCGATGCAACTATAGCTGCTAGAATGGCAATTACAAGCGCAGGATAGATGGTGCCTGGGGGAGCTGCGTTATAGAACGGATTCGAGTATGCTTCTGGATGCACACTGATGTATGCAGCCTGCCCGATATATGCCAGAAGTAGGCAGGGAAATGTATAGCATAACCAACTTATCTGGATCGCCCGACGACTAAAAGCACCAAGGTCGGCAAAAAGGGCTTCGACTCCGGTAAAGGCAAGCAAAGTACCACTGAGCATTCTCCATCCTGATTCTCCGTGTCGGATGAGAAATGTGAATGCGTAACCGGGATTGAAGGCGACAAAGACCCCGGCATCATATTTAGCAAGGTTATAGATTCCAAACGCAGCGTTGAATCCAAGCCAAATGATAACTATTGGGGCAAAGGCGAACGTAACCCGCGTGATACCAAGTGGCTGTAGCAAGAACAAGATGACCAAGATAGCATCCGTGACCCCGATGACAGTGCCTTTGGAAATGTTTGGAGAAACAACTTCAATTCCCTGGACGGCACCCAGCACGGATTGAGCGGGAGTGAGCAGGCCATCCGCGAGAACCATCGTAACGGCCAGTACTCCTACGACTTTCAGTAGGCGCTTCGCGAACTTGCTTGTTTCCAGGCTGTGTCTGGCAAATCTGCTGGAGCTCTCGAGATCAATTGACAGGTGTCTCTTCATCTGCACAAGGGATGCCTCTCGAGGATCTCGATGAGTGATATTCATCTGAGCTGGTCAATTTTATCCGGCACAGAGAGAGGTGTGTCTTACATAGCGACTGAGCAGAGAATATGTGCTGAATGTACCTCCCTCTCCATCGTTATCCGCGTGAAGGATAATGAAGATGTATTTCATGGTCACCATAATAGTAATACTCCAGATTATAATGGAGAGCACTCCAATAAGGTCTTGGCGAGACGGTGCCTCGGTGAACGTAGACGAAAAGACGTAGAGCGGGCTGGTTCCAATATCTCCGTATATGACACCGATTGACTGGTATGCGAGCCAAAGAAGCATTTTGCCAGAGAAATCCTGCTTGTTTTAGCCTGCGTGCTTCTGAACCCTGAAATCCTGTCAGACAGTACCTGTCTTTGCTTGAAGTCTGTAGGTCTGCGCAAGCCTGGGTCATCATCCTCGCCAATAGTACTCACAGTACTAATGGCTCGATCCAGATGATTGTTATTCCATGGGCGAATATTGTAGATCGAGTCTTGAGTCTGTTGAGATTTTTCTTTCACCGTCGCCAGTGATGGCAGTTCCTTCAAGGCCTCTGGGTCAGGGTCCATTTTAATGCGAGGCAAAGACAGACTCGTGAGAGTACTGGCAGTTAGCTAGCTCAAAGGTCGGGTCACGTCAGTTAAAGAGGTATGGGATGACGCAGAGATATGTGCGATTCACCTTTATAGAAGCCACTGAACATTGTAGTACTTATATTGATGGTTCAGGCGGCAAGAATCGTAGATAAGCGTCAGCTTCTGAACAAATCCTCATCCCGCGTGCTCTTCCCACGCTTGTGGACACACATCGCAGCCATCGTATACGAGCCATCGAACGCCATCTAGCTATATCCTTATCTCGAAGAAAATAAGGATTGGATGAGATCTCAAGAATGTTTTAGATAATGCACAGATAGCTATAGATAAAAGCTGCAAGCACCTTGAGAGGGATTTTTCTGGTCCAACCTCTAGGGTTCGGCCCAGAGAGTGCGGCATTTGTTAGCACCAATAGTTGCTCGGTGCATTCACGGCAAGTTCAATGCATCCCGCACCACATGGCGCTGATCATTCGCTCCGACTCGCTGATGCTGGGATGTCAAAAGGAATAAAGATAAGATTTCAGACCAAATCTGGTGTTTTCCGGAGGTGGTGACTTTAGCTCTCATGATCGTCGCTGCTTCATCCCATTTCTTGAGTTCGCCTCCACGCAACACATGGATCCAAGTGATTGTCTCTTGTCATGATTGTCGAAGCACATTCAGGTAAGCGTTAATGTGACTACTACTACTACTACTACTACTACATATGTTGGGACGCATCTCGTCTATCTGCTCTCCAGATAGACGAGACACATCATTCTAAGTCTACCAGCAGTTAGTGCCTTGAAGACTAACCTCAACAAACAAAAAGCCATCTTCAGCGCAAGATAATAAGAGCATTCTGAGTAGGATACCTCAGTCGACTTGTAAACCTCGGTATTGCCGGAAGTTGATGCTACTATATCAAAAGGTTTATTCAGATTGCTTTGAATAGCCATTCGGTTCGGCGTGGTATGCGGACACTCTGGTCATTCATTGTATATCATACATCATATTATAGATCCTCCCCAACATTTACAGCCCAACATAACCAGATCCGTCATCCACCCTCTGTGGCATCTTCATACCGTGCATACCAGCATACTTGGGGCTTTGAGGCTCTTTCCAGTCATCAAGCACCTTGGAATCCGTCAACTTATACACTTCAACACCTAGGGGACGTGTGGTAGCCCCCATATCTGCCTTCTCCTCCCAGCCCCAGTTTGACAGATCACCTACGACCAAGAATTAGTATCTAATCTCCATGATTGCCAGATAAAACTCACCTCCAGGACATGCCGACAGTGCGCAGAGTACATCAACTTCAGCGAAGAACTCAAAGTACTCTCCCGGCTTTGCAGGAGAAGTCTCCATAAAGTACTTTCCTTCCTCATCGAGTCCCGTCACCTGGAAGACATTGAGCACGTCATGCACGTCAAGCTCTGTCAGACCATACGGAGCAACAGCACGGGTCAGGTTAGAGTGGCAGTGGAAGTCGAAGCTTTCCCCACCCATGACCAGATTCACATAAGGATCACAACGGGTACCAAGAAGGTCGTGCACGCGCCCTCCGAACTGCGTTGTGCCGAAGCCCTTTCCTTCTTTTCGCTTGCCATTCTCATCCAAAACTTCGTGAAGTTGCCCACCTGCTAGCGAATCACCTGTAATGGTAATTAGAGGGCGCAAGTATGGCAGGTTCGACCACAGGCGGTCACCAACCGAGACATGGGAGGCGTGGATCTGACGAGTGCGCGCTGCCCAGAGTCTTTCGCGAGGGTTATTCGCATTCCAGATGTTAAGATCACCCACTTGAGGACCCTTCGGCGTTGTGAGACGGCAGATGTGCCCGGCTGGTACTACCCAAGCTTGGCCCGAGCATGGACGAATAGTGAAGGATGACTCTAGAGTTCGTTTGGAGGACTCGGAAGCTGTTTCCGAGATGTTTCGGTACAGCTTTGAGGTAGCATGGACTCCAGAATCAGCAGGAGCTGTATAAGCTGGAGGGGGACGACGCGGAGCAGCCATTGTAGATGTGTCTGGTTGAAGCAGTAGTCTTAAGGTAATATATTTGGCGGCTCGAGATGACCAGTGTATGCGACCAATGCGAGAGGAATGTACATCTTAGCCCACGCCAGGGGCAGTGAACCTATGCTTTAATAGTACACGACTACCTCGGGATGCCTGCCGATGATCGCAGCGTTCCTTATCGTATTCTGCCCCATACAGCCCCGCTTTGGGGTCCCAGTTCGGGTCCTCTCATGGCCATCACGACGTATTGACACCGGGCCGATATGGAAGGGTTGAGCCCTTATCGAACTCGACCGGGCCGGACGATAAATGATCGCAGAACTGATCTCATTAGTAATTTGTTGCCTGGGGCAGCAATGTTCCTGTTCCGCCTTTTGCCCCCATTTTCTCCGGCGGGAAGATCTCGGAACGGAAAAAGCACTCTCCGACGAAAGAAAATGGAAATAATAATTTTGGCCGAGCTACTGGACAACGGAAGCAGCTCGCCGATTGCTCGACTTTTTGGTGAAAGCTTTTATCTTTTCACGAGCCGGGGAGAGATTTCTTGAGGGGTCTACAGACCTCGTATATTCAAGATGGAGGAGCAATCCAACAGGGCGCATCGCCCTGCTAAAGAGAAAAAGAAGTACGACGGTATGTAGTACTTCTTCAAAGTCGGATTCGCCGCTTTTTCAAGAAAATGGCCGACTAACAGATGTATCGCAACTTAGGCCCGAATCCGAAGGCTTTCGCGTTCTCGAACCCTGGCAAATCGAATAAGGCCGGCGCAAGATCTCACGATGTATGCGCTACTACCCTCTTCATAATTCCGTACGCAACGGTCACTGATGCTCATTCTGCCGCATAGATTAAAGAGAAGAGACTCCATGTGCCTCTTGTTGATCGCCTGCCCGAGGAGGCTCCGCCGCTCGTGGTGGCTATTGTTGGCCCACCGGGGGTATGTATCTTTACCAATGATACCATTGTCAAGATTGCAACATGCTAATGCCTTCGCTGCTTCCAGGTTGGAAAAACGACCCTTATCAAGTCCTTGATCCGTCGATACACAAAGCAGACCCTCAGTACCCCTAAGGGACCGTTGACTGTTGTAACCTCAAAACGGCGCCGCCTTACCTTCCTAGAATGCCCCTCCGACTCCCTCGCCAGCATGGTCGATGTGGCTAAGATCGCGGATATTGTGCTTCTGATGATCGACGGAAACTATGGCTTCGAGATGGAGACTATGGAGTTCTTGAACGTTTTGGGCTCTCACGGTATGCCCGGAAATGTGTTCGGTATCCTGACCCACTTGGACCTTTTCAAAAAGCAGAGCACCCTGCGTGCTGCCAAGAAACGCCTCAAGCATCGTTTCTGGAGCGAGCTGTACAACGGTGCCAAGCTTTTCTACCTTTCCGGAGTCGTCAATGGCCGCTACCCCGACCGTGAAGTGCACAACTTGTCCCGCTTCTTGTCTGTCATGAAGAACCCGAGACCGCTCATCTGGCGCAACTCTCACCCTTACGCCCTCGCAGATCGATTCCTCGACATCACGCCGCCTACCCAGATTGAAGAAAACCCGAAGTGTGATCGGACGATAGCGCTCTATGGTTACCTACGAGGCACCAACTTTCCGGCTTCTGGTGCGCGCGTGCATGTTCCTGGTGTGGGTGACTTGACTGTTTCTGGCATCGAGTCTCTCCCCGACCCATGCCCAACACCTTATATGGATCAGCAGTTGGCTAAAGCTACCGGCAAGAATAGCAAGCGCAGGCTGGGAGAGAAGCAGAAGTTGCTTTTTGCTCCTATGTCCGACGTCGGTGGTGTCTTGGTTGACAAGGATGCTGTTTACATCGATGTGAAGACCTCGAACTTTGATCGTGGCGAGGAATCCGACGATGAGGAGCGTGGTCTGGGAGAGCAATTGGTCGTCGGTCTTCAAGGAGAGCGTAAACTTTTGGGTGAGGCAGACAGTGGTGTTCGTTTGTTCCGCGGCGGTGGTGCCATCGGAAAGGCAGATGACGAGGATGAAGCTGTCGGCAGGAAGCACAAGCGAAACGTTCGATTCCTGGACGGCGAACAGGACAATCAGGATGCGGCGGACGATGATGAAGGCTTCGAAAGCGAAGAGGGCGAAGAGGACGAGGAGGACATCGAGCAAGATGAGGAAGAGGACCTGAGCGGTGATGAGGAAGAGGTCGACGCTTCCGCACCGCCAGATTTCGAGGCCAACTTCAAGGAAAGACAAAACGGCAATGCTCATCAGAAAGAGGACGACATCGCTTTTGCCGACAGTGACTCCGACCTTGGTTCCATCTCGTCAGTAGAGGATCAGGTCCTCGATAGCGACGAGGACGACGAAGACGAAGACGGTGAAGATGATGGCGAGGTCCGTTGGAAGGATAACATGCTTGCCAATGCGAAGGCCCTCCATTCGAAGCGTCCTAAGTACCGTGTCCCTGACTTGTCACGCATGCTTTACGATGAAACCATCACACCTGCAGATGTGATCCGCCGATGGAGTGGTAAGGAGGAGGCCGACAGAGATGACGATGAAGAGCCTGAAGAGGACGAAGATGCCTTCTTCAGGAAGACAAACGTTGAGGAAGAGGAAGCTGCAGAGTACCGTGCTGTTCCTGAGTATGACTACGCCAAACTAGAAGCCAAATGGCAAGATGCGGACATGATTGAATCCTTGCGGCAGCGCTTTGTCAGTGCCAAACTGTCTGGTGGCGACGACGATGATTCGGATGTCGATGATGCCTTTGATGAGGATGACGAGGGTGACGGAGAGTTTGAAGATTTGGAGACCGGTGAAGCTTTCGACGGATTCTCTGACGAAGAAGGCGCCGAGGATGATGAAGCTGCAGAGCCCGAAGGCCCCGTCGACTTGGATGCAGAGCGAGAACGTAATGCGAAGAAGAAGGAAGAATTGAGGCTGCGCTTCGAGGAAGAAGACCGTGAAGGATTCGCTAACTCCAAGGACAACTCCCGGCAGGCCGGTGGTGGAGAAGAAGAATTCGGAGAGGACGAGTGGTACGATATGCAGAAGGCCAAGCTCCAGAAGCAGATCGACATCAACCGTGCTGAATTCGATATGCTTGACCCGGCCTCGAGGGCCCGTGCGGAAGGTTTCAAGGCTGGTACTTATGCACGTATCGTGCTTGAGAACGTTCCTTGCGAATTCGCAACCAAGTTCAACCCCCGCTTCCCTGTGATTGTGGGTGGACTGGCCCCGACTGAAGACAGATTCGGTTATGTGCAGATCCGCATCAAGAGGCATCGTTGGCATAAGAAAATCCTGAAGAGCAACGATCCTCTTATCTTCTCTCTCGGTTGGCGCCGCTTCCAGTCCCTGCCGATATACAGCACTTCGGACAGTCGAACCCGTAACCGCATGCTCAAGTACACTCCCGAACACATGCACTGCTTTGGTACCTTCTACGGGCCTCTTGTTGCACCTAACACCGGTTTCTGCTGTCTGCAATCATTCTCGAACAAGACCCCGGGATTCCGCATCGCTGCTACAGGTGTCGTCCTGAGCGTCGACGAGCACACGGAGATTGTCAAGAAGCTTAAGCTGACTGGTGTACCCTACAAGATCTTCAAGAACACCGCTTTCATCAAGGACATGTTCAACTCATCTATTGAAATCGCCAAATTTGAAGGAGCTTCCATCCGGACTGTATCTGGTATTCGTGGTCAGATCAAACGCGCTCTCAGCAAGCCCGAGGGTTACTTTCGTGCTACCTTCGAGGACAAGATTCTCATGAGTGATATCGTCTTCCTTCGCGCATGGTACCCGATCAAGCCCCACCGCTTCTACAACCCTGTCACCAACTTGCTGGATCTGGACGAGGACGGTGTCGGTGACAACGGCTGGAAGGCTATGCGTCTCACTGGTGAAGTCCGTCGTGAAAAGGGAATTCCTACTCCTATGAACAAGGACTCAGCTTACCGCGCCATTGAGCGCCCCGAGCGTCACTTCAACCCTCTTCGTGTGCCACGCCAGCTGGCGGCTGACCTTCCCTTCAAGTCCCAAATCACGAAGATGAAGGGTCGGAAGGACAAGACTTACATGCAGAAGCGTGCTGTGGTCCTGGGTGGTGAAGAGAAGAAGGCACGAGATCTCATGCAGAAGCTTAATACCATGCGTAATGAGAAGCAGGCCAAGCGTGCGGCCAAGCAGGAGGAACGGCGCCAGGTGTATCGTGCCAAGGTTGCGGAGGGTCTGGAAAAGAAGGCCGAGCGGGAGAAGAGAGAACGGGATGAATACTGGCGCCGAGAAGGTAAGAAGCGCAAGAACCAGGACGGTGAAGGTGGCGGGGGTAAGAAGCGCAAGTAAGGCAACGCTTCCTGCAACGGCATGTTTTTGGGATCTCTACCGGATGTTAAAAGTTTACTGTGAATATGGTCGATGTGTATCTATCTACATGTTGCATGGTGGATGGCGTTGAATCTTACCCGACTATAGCGTCGGACTTCTTATTTCTCTTATTGGATTATTGTTATTATGTGGATATATTGATGCTCTATACCAGGAATAGACTGAGTTGGTGTTGACTTTTACATTTCTGTGGCTGCCTGAAAGTGGTGCCTGAACCATGCGGTCGAAGTAACCCCACGTGACCGCGCCGCGCAACGCGTCTTGTCTCGTCGCTCGTTGCTGTGCTGGTCCTGGAAGATCTTCCCCATGTTGCCCTGCGCCCACCAGCGCAGTGAACGCTAGCTCTGCATTCAATTTGTTCTCCATGTAGGCGGATTCTCGTCTACATATGGCATCCCTCCTCATCCTTCCCTCGCGCCCCTCAAGCCGATCCATCAGGCATCGGGATTGACGTGCGGAGACCAGCAACGTGCTTTTGCTAGTACTTAGTCCCGCCTTGCACGTGTGGATTCTTCGAACGCCATCCCTTGCAGCAAACAGCTTCTCAGGCATTTTGTCGCAGTGGACTGAGTGCTCCTGACAGCTCCGCTTCGGACCTTCCCGTGCCCAACAACGTCAGAAGCGGGCGGTGATCTGCCTCTATTTGACGCTAGACGCCAGGCCGTTTGAGAGCCCTCGTGATTGTTTACCCTCTGCCTCCTCTGCTGCCATCGGAGGAATGTGCAAACGCCACACCCGAGAGCTTATTGAGATTCCTCAGAAGACCTGCAGTGTCAGGTTTCCGCCGCTCATTTTATCAGTATGAGTGGATCGTCGCGGTTAGACGGACGCCCACATGTGCAGAACCCCCAACCCCAAATTGCGTCGCGGAATCTTGCAGAAGCCACCGAACACCACAGCCGCCCAGCTGGGAGCCGCCATCATGACACCATAGATCATAGAAACAGTCGTGTTGGCGTATCGCCACCTAAGCCGGAGTCGTCCATGGCGGTAAACATAACATCAGAGCCACCATCGGATCAGCCGGCATCTAATTCCAATAGACACTTACCACAGTCTTCGGTCTCGACGGGTCTGCCTCCTGTCGCGCAAGGAAAGCACTTCGAATACAATAGAACGCAACAAATAATGCACCACCAACTTTCGTCAGTACCCACGGGGACGAGTATACACGCGTCCACTGGTGGGCAACAGATCAGGTCTGAGCCATTGGCGTCCACCATTCGAAAGAGCCATAGTCCGTCTGTGACGGTACCGGGAAGCCCATCTAAACATAACGCCCCACCGAAGAGGACTGCAGCTGGGATCTCCAAACACCTTGTCGATGCCCCTGGTGCGGACCACCCTTCCGAAGTAGACAGTCCCGATCGACGTCGCTCTCATAGTATTGGCTCCCTATCGCGTGAGAGCAGGATTGCAGCGGTAAGGCTTACTCCTTGCATCAATTTCGGCGACATGTATGTGAATTCTAATTCCAAATTTAGTTGTCCGTTCACCTGCGAACGCGGTTATCGTATGCTGCCGCCAAGGTTGAGAAGAGTAGGAAGATCCATGGCGTCCATGCTCATTCCTTATCGCCTAGTACAGAATCTCTCGCTAAGGTTGGCCTGTTGCCCGCCTTCAGCGAGATAGAGGCTCAGCGTTTGGGAGAAAATAGCTCGCCAGATGGAACCACAATGTCTGCGCCGGATCCACCCTCAACAACCAGTTTCTATACCCCGAGCGGCCCTGGGCGGCTGTCTCCTGTGGCCCAATCCGCCGATGCCTCGCCACCCTCACACCTCGATCTGCCAAAATCCCATCCCCGTCCAAAACTCGCACCCCCTGCAGATATTGCAAGTGGAAGCCGCAGTCGCCGTCGACGTCCCAATCCCAACGAGCCGCTGCACCACCCGAAAGTTTCTGTGTCACTGCATCGCAGACACCGTTCTCACCAAGAGGTTGGCGTGTCCAGACCAGCTGCAAATTCAGAGAAGGTGCAGGTCCCTGGGACTCCTCCTCTTGGCCCAATGCGTCAGGCTTCTTATAACGGTACGGTTGGTCATCAAAACCACAATCGAAATAGCGCTATGGAACAGGACGCTATTGAAACTCTGCTTTTCATGTCCAGTCCTGGACATTCGGGCTATCACTCAAGCTCCCAGCATTCCCAACGTCAACGAAATATATTTCAGAGCAGCCATGATTCCAGAAGCTCGGCCTCTCGAGTGCCCCATAGTCAAGACTCTCAAGTCAGTAATCCCCGTGGTCGGCCTATGCAAGTTTCAAACGATCAAGGGATTGGTCTAGAATTGCACGCTGGAGACGAGATCGACCGGATTCTGGATCAAATGGACAGTGACAGCGATGACGAAGTCAAGTTTGCTTCGACCCAGTCCAGCTTTACGGACCATGGCTCTAAGCAAGCTGACAGCTCTCAAGAGCATAACCGACGAGGTGGATGAGAGGCATTCGGACACAGCCCTTGGTGTTCGGTCTGTCTGCCTTTATAAACTCACATGTACGGTTAAAATGGCAGTCATCGACAGGACAGGGGCAACATCTTGCCCTGGTTTGCATCTATTCTTCGGTACCCCAACCTGAAGAATCGCTATTGGAGTCGGACTGAAATTGGGTCAACTATCTGGTTCAGGCCAGCCCTAGATTACTTACAATCGCGAATACTATATCCTCAGACGCAAGGAACGGACGTGGCGCTCTCAATATCATGTTTCCATGGTCCACTAATGCCACTATCTGCTCAAACAGGTCATTATTCGGTCATACTTGTTGAAGCTCTCACCATTGTGTTCTATAATTCCTATAAGGGGCTTCGCTACGTAGAGCATCCCCCGCGCATTGGTTCTATTGCTGGTACAGGTTTCGTCGGCTTGCGTGCAAGCAACTTGCGCTCTTCCAAGCTACAATCTTTCGCCACGCCAAAGAAATGGATGAGGCAACACCTTCCGCATCTCAATCATCCCCTTTCGAGGCTGGCATCTATCTTCCTGGGGGTCATAACACTGACCCGCCTCTGACAACCGACACGGTCGGTTACCGATTGAATCATTTCATGCTCCGCATCCGAGATCCTCAGCGCACTCTGCATTTCTACATCGATCTCATGGGCATGCGCACCATTTTCACCATGAACGCCGGCCCTTTCACCATGTACTACCTTGGCTATCCCCCGACTCCCAGCGACCGCGCCGGCCTTTCTGCCTGGGCCTCCCGCGTCGCCAACGTCCGTGAACTCACCCAGACCATTGGGCTGCTGGAGTTTTACCATACTCATGGGACTGAGAAGGATAAAGAGTTTAGAGTCTCCACAGGGAACTTGCCTCCTCACCTGGGATTTGGCCATCTAGGCTTCACTGTCCCGGATGTTCCTGCGGCCGTCGAGCGACTGAGGGGCCAAGGTGTACACGTGCTGAAAGAGGTTGGGGATAGCTCCAGGGGCAGTGTTCCTCTCAGTGCTTGGGAGGAGCATCGCGGCTTGGGGACGGGGGATGTACATCCAAAGTTCAAGGAGATTTACGATCAGATTGCGTGTGTGGCTGATCCGGTGGGCAGACCTGACTCTATCAATCACAGTACCCAAATTACTGACGATTGCTTAGGACGGATACATGGTTGAGCTTGTTCCACAGAACATGCAGGATCAATGGGCCTGGTCTAGTTGATTTCATTGGGAAGTGAATTCTGTGACTTGGAATATGTGGGTTGTAGCAACCCCTCATAGTAACTATCTACACTTACCCTATGGGGACAATGATAACTGTCAGCCCTGAAAGCCAAGCCACAAATTCCATTCCACAACCAGTACAAACTCCGCGGGACTTTCTATCCGGTTCCCCTTTCAACGGTAATCCTCCAGTAGCACGTCTCTGCACACCTCCACTGTATTGATTCTTGTGTATGTATAATGAATACAGCAATGCTCTCCAGACTTGAAGCAATCAATCCCTCCCAAGCAACTCACACACAGACATACCGATTACCGGTACTACCTACTCGACAGTAGTATATCTTTCAATAGGCCTTCAAAACTACCAGTACCACTACTATTACTACAAATACTTTGCTTTCTTCACTCAGCTTGGCCTAAACAAGCCCCACACGCGCCCCTTTCCCCTCCCTCCCTCTCTCTCTCTCTCTCTCTCCCAGCTAAGCCAAGCCCAAGCCCGCCAACAGCTACGCATCGGCCCTTCCGTCCTATTCCCCGCATATTTCCTGTAGAGTTCTTTCCCGATTGGGTCTAGCAAATATTTGTTACATTAGGGTAGGAGTAGTACAAGGGCTACTTAAACAAATGAATCGATGATAATCAGTGCTGCTAGGGTTCTCGTTCGTTCTTGTAGCTGTATAGGGGGGTTCTACCTATCTGTCTCAATTTATCCAATTTATTTGATACCAAAGCCGAATACAAGCTTTATGCAGCATTCATTATGTAGTACTTAATCCTTGGTACTTAGGCATTTCCTGGCTTGGATGTATCTACATTCTCGTAGCTCGGTATATAGCATTCCACCCATATGGTAAGGAATGGTGTCTAGGTATGTCCTTCAATCCCTCTCTCGATTTCTCCCCCCCCTTTCTTGAGTGTATAGTGAGAAGGAATAGTTGTGAGTGATAAGATGGATGGACAACAATATAATATATAAGTCAGGTATTACTCTTTAGTCTTGCAGATTGGTCATACGAATCAATCGGCCTGCAGCTCGTCTCAGTACCTACTAGTAGTACCTAGTCACCATCATGGTTGTCCTTGCCCGAGTCTCGCTACTTCTTGTCCCGTTACTGGGGACTTTGTCTCATGCAATTCAGGTACGGAGTCCCAATTCAACCCCTCTCATCATACCATGGATGTATATACATAGTAGAGAGAGTGGGGGAGGGAGGGAAGAAGCGGAGAAGCACGTACACTAACACCACCCCATCCTCCGACAGGCCGAAGACTATCCCTCAACCTGCGTCGATGCCTGCGACGGCATACAGCCGGATTCGACCGACACGAATTATTACTGCGACTACTGCATCTGCAAGAACAAATTGCTAGGATGGGCCAATTTCCAACCGACCGACAACTTCACCGACATGTTTACCGACTGGGTTCCACTGGGCGGCCTCTGTCCGAAAGATTGGCTCTGTACCTGGGCGAACTGGACCGACAATGGATTCAACCCCACTTATAGCAAACTTGTCTATCCACCCAACAATGGCTTCAATGGCTGTCCCAAGAATGTGAGTCTGGGGGTTGGCACCTTGGTGGACCGCTTCGGCACGCAAAATGGCAGTTATCTCGCCCCGGCGGACACTCCGTACGCACAGCGATCCATCGGGCCAAGCAGTCTGAACAAGTACAACGGTAGTACCATGTACAACTACTGGAGATTCAATGTGACTGAGGAGTTTGTGGCTTTGGGTGGAGAGATCCTGCCGTGGTATGGTCAGCCTGGAGGTGGCTGGCAGTGGTATGCGAATGTCACCCAGTTGCAAATTGACGGCAAGCTTAAGTTGGTCGGGGCGACGACTTTTGGGGTTAATGAAGCTTGGGAGGCTGCTGGGCCGATGGAGAGAGTCTATGGTCTTCAGGATTATTAGGTAGTAGCTGAGTAGCTGAAGTGTGGTGCTGGCGATGGGGATTGTGTATTGCACGGGCCATGTTCCTTGGGCAGCGGAGTCAGTAGGTGTTGGAGGACTGGGGTGTATGCCGTTACTAGTATTAAAATCAATACAACTTCCATAGAGTCAATAACTAGCTGGAGTTACTTTGCAGGTAGACAAGGGGGTAGACGAGATATAGTAGTATAACCACAATAACCTTGCAATAGCTTCAGAAATAATATCCAAGCCCTAAGCAGGCGTAACGAGCCTTAGGCATACAATGAAACACTAACTATATTAGTGAAGGAATGGATCCTCAGGCTTTACTGGCCCAAAGCCAACAACAACAACAACAACAACATCATCATCATCATCATCAACATCAACAACAAAAATCATGAAAAGCAATTCTCTCATTCCGGTGGAGGATCAAAAAGCTCCGCGGGAATCGGCATTCAGATACCGAACGAACCCTGCCGTACTCCATGCCATACACTCGGGCTTACCGATGCCGATACTTACTCTTCTTAAATTGGCAGATGACTTGAAGCATTTCTGCGACTGAAGGATTTGCCTCGAAGAAGAGGTATATATGCCTTGGTACGGAGGAACCAATAACGGATGGACGAGGATTTCTTTTTGTATGCTCATCGGGATAGTAGTTAGAAGTAGTTGCAATAATCATAGTACAACATTCTTTTGGTGGTCGTACTTGGTTCTAGTCATATAGGATGGTGGCTACATCTTAATATATTATCAAGATATGTAACCAGCATTAAAAATGAATCATCACCCATCAGTTGCATCTGCAAAGACACATAACTATCGTACAAGCCTAAAGGCCAGAGAAAATCGAGCCAGGTACATACATACATATACATATACATACCCAGCAGAGTCTATCACATCAAAGCAAATAAGGATCAAAAAAGGAGACACCGACGACTACTTTATGCAACGAGACAAGAAAGAAACCATTTTCCCTTCCCCAGAAGACGCCAGGAGTATAAAATAAGTGCAGACGTATCTTTCTATCAAACCATCCATCCGTCCATCCCATCATGAGCATAAATTACACTCGAAAGCAGGTAGGTAGGATTCTACTCTACTCCACTCCCCAACTGTCATCCACCTCTGCCACATCGTAGTCCACGTCGTGCGGGCCGTCCTTGCGTGCTCCGCTCTGTTCCGATAACATGGATGGCCCCGTTGCGTTGTCCATTACCGTGTCCTCGTCTGACCCTGTCTTGTTGGTATCCGAGCCAGGGCCGGATGTTGCGCCGCTGGCGGGGAGGGTGATAGGGGGGTTAGGGACCCAAGTGAGCTGGACTTGGCCTACCGAGGGGATGTCCCGGGTTCCAAACATGAACTTCTCGGCTAGGTAGCGTTCCTTGAAAGCTACGATGACTGAGTCGGGTTGGTCTGGGTTAGGCTCAATAGATTCGTATTCGCCGACGCCCTGGTATACTGGGTTAGCTTTGAAAGCGTAAATAGGGTAAGACTGGAGGCAGGATACTTACAATGAGGTATTGTCTCAAGGCCTCGTCCTTCTCAGAGTTGGCCTCCACACCGGAGACAGCCACCCTACGGGGTCGGTTGTCGAGACGTAGAACACCACCTCTGCCGCGAGCAGCGCCACCACGACCACGATATCCACCGCGGAAGGACGAGTCGTAACCACGGCCCCGGGGCGGGAATCCGCCACGAGCACCGAATCCTCTTCCGCGACCGCGGTAGGAGTACGGTGCGCTCGCACCAGCACCGTTGGGGTCGATACCAAGACTCTTCGCTTCGGCTTCAAGAGCGGCCAGCTGTGCACGAAGCTGCTGGGTCTGGTCACTGGCATTCTCCTGTGATACACCTGCTTCGTCGGCCGGAGAGGCGCTGTCATCACCGCCTTCTTTTCCGCCAAGCTTTTGCATGAGGCGAAGCTTCTCTTCCTGCTGCTTTTTAAGAAGCTCGTCGCGCTGTCGCTCGAGGGCTTGTTTTGCTTCCTCAGTCTCCTTGCGCTTCTTTAATTTTTCCTCGTGCGCCCGCTGGGCTTCCTCTTGCTGTCTCTCAAACTCTTCGCGGTTGAAGGCTGGACCCTCATTCATGGCGTCGC